TGCAAATTGATTGATATCAAAATGTATGATACGCAAATTGATTGATATCACCACAAAAGGAACCATTTTGTTTTAAATATGTACTACTTTCCAGTATGTTCTTTTTTGACCGGGCCCGATTAGGTGGTGTTACGTCTTACAAAGTCCATCCAAATTATTTTTGCAAAGATTTCCGCTCAAGCCGGTGCTAGGGGCCGTCTTAAACTTGCAGTGAGGTGAGAGTTTTTTTTAGCTCCGTGTTGAAGGCCTCACTGTGATTTTGAGATAAAGAACAGCAATAAAAGCGCTGTTCCTTTGCTTTTTGTTTGTTTTTTTTGTTGTTGTTGCTGTGCATGTATTGTTTTTCTATTTTATAAATCTTTATTAAAATTCTATTTTGTATAAATTTGAATATCTTTAGCAACAATATTTCTGGCGCAGAGAAACAATTTCGTTTGACTAAATTATGTTCATTTGTTGAATAATCATAAGATATACACTCCTTAAGTTTCAATTTTCATTATATTTTAAAGACTTCCCTTATTTGAATCTGTGAATGAAACCCAGGGGAAATTGATCAAACCTCTATCCGGCCCTTCATCTCGGTCGACCCAAACTACAAAGCCCGTCTAAGTGATTTATTTGTTTCATTTGTACTCGTCCCTAATTTGCATGAATCATTTGCCGCAGGATATCAAGCAAACAAAGACCAATCAATAGCAATGAATTTTAAAACATAAAGGACAGAGCATATTGTTGCATAATATGCAACTTTATTGTAGAGTTTTATTTATTTATGAAAGAATTTAGTCGATAGTACGACAGTACCGGAATGCAAATCCGATTAGATTTCACATTTTAAAGCAATAACACACAATTGTTGATTTTTTAATGGATATGTTGTTAAATAATTCAGAGTATCACTTAACCTCAAATAAAAAGGTCATGTTTGTTTTATTGGAAACATTTGTACAGGAAATCACCTGTACAAGCGTTAATGAGAGGGCGTAATTAAGCTGTAGCTATTGTTTTCTGTCTAGCTTTTTTTGTTACTCGTCCTGAATATGCATTAAATATTCGCCACTAAACGTTAAGCAAACAACAATTAACCAATCAATCAAAAATAACTAGAGTCTCAAATGAGGCCATATCGCGCAGCTGACATCAACGCAAGTCACTCACGGTTCCTGCAATTTGTGTCTTTTGTCTTAGTGCAAGTTGTTTTTGTGCTTCGTGCCAATCTGAGTCAAGCTATTTCTAACTGGGTTGGGAGCAGTCTGACTGAAAACAGCCACAATGGGGGCTGGTTTTAATCAGACTAGGATGAGCTTTTTTAAATCCAACCACAAAGTCAGGGCCTGTTATTCAGTGATTGGCTCTCGTATTTGTTATTCGATTATTGTATTATCAATAATCATGCCGTTGGTTTTTTTCATTTGAATTGTTTCACATGTTATCATGTCTTGGCGTTTTAAAACTTACAATAGGGTATAGGTTTTGCTCATCGCTGAAGGCCGTACGGTCACATCTAGTTGCTTAAATACACGTCATATGGACTCTGTTGGATAATTATTTCATTGGCAATCATACCACATCTCCTTGTTTTGTATTATAGTAAGTTTAGAAAGCCAGACACTGCAAGATCAAACAGTTTGTCATGGCGACTGTGGAAACTGTTAGACTATGTTAATCATAACCCTGCTGGTCCAGGAGTCTTTTTTTTTAGTTATCACCGAATGTATACTTACATGAGCAAAACGAAATGTGTAACATGAGGAGCAGGATCTGCTTACCCTTTCGGAGCACCTGAGTTTTTGGTTGGATTTGTTGCTCAGTCTTTAGTTTTCGATGTTTTGTTTTGTAGACTGTTGTTTGTCTTTTGAGCGTTTTTCGTTTTTTGCTATGACTGTGTCAGTTTATCTTCGACTTACTGGTTTTAATATCCCTTAGATATTTTCAGCCTCTCTTTCAGTGAAGTTTACATCTGTGTACAAGTCCAAAATGTCTTCTAACAGAGTAATAGGTTATATTTTTAAACTACAAACTATAACAAAACATGACGACAATCTTTAGCGTTTGATTTCTTTGACCAATTGGAGGATATCTTTATGCCAACTATTGCCGACATGTTATAATATGGTAGACATAAAAAATAGTTGTAGGAAGACAAACGAGGATTCTGTAAGTCTAGAAAACAGATATAGTCAATCATCTTTTAAGATAAAATTTTGATTGAAATGGAAATAAGCGCAACAATTGACTTTTAATGATCTCAAGTGAATACGAAATATGTGATTTTGTTTTGATTAATTTTTCACCGACTATTCTGTCATTAGTCAAATCTAGTAGACATCCATGTCACCAAGATAAGTTTCTTATGGGAGTGTATATTTCGTATCATTAAAACTATATTACAAAAGTGCATGCAGCAAAAATTTAATTGACTATATGAAAGTTTCTTGATCATGTATGTTATGTCATAGTGCGTCAAGTTGGTGTAGTGACGGATTCCGTCAACTGCAAGAGAGAGAGAGGCAGACAATAACAAAGAGATATTTAAACTCATAAGTGGCCGAAACACAAAAAAAAACTACCAAACTAAAGACAAACAGTATAAAACACAGCATTAATACTCAAGATTGAGCAACACAAACCTTACCAAAAACCGAGGGTGGTCTTAGGTGCTCCGAAAGGGTATGCATATCCTGCTTCACAAGTAGCACCTGTAAGTATCACTTATGAATTATACAAGTAGTACATGTTGACAGTAATTTCCAATGTGTTGTCTACAACTTTTCGTTACGAAAAGGTGAGAGTGTTACTGTACAGGTAAAGAAGTAGGAATTTACATTCTCAACATTCACTCAAAATAGGTAAACGGTGTTTGGTGGTACTTGAACATCTTTTCATATCAAGTTTTGATATATACTTTTGAAATATTTCATAATCAATGTCAGTACCTTATAAGACACACGAAGAGCCACCAGAACATTGATTTCTATGTCTTTGTTTTATTGTTGTTTTTTTAACGAATCAAAGAGGTCAACTTTCGTATACACAGATATTAGCCTCGGCAGTGAGATACTTGCTACGGGGAGTCTATTTAACTTTCCTGCATATTTAAAAATACGCAGCCACTCTTAATTAAAAGGGAAATCTTAAATCCACTGCCTTATGTTGGGAAAGTGCTATGCTCGCTACACGTAAACTATGTTATATTTGCAGCGTCCATGCATGACCCTTTTCAAGTGTGTCTTTTATGCCCAATATATCCGCTCCTTTCTATGGCTGTCCAATATTAAGCCATTCCTTCTTATCTACGCACTTTAGAAGTTTTTGTTGTTGATTATTTTGCTAGTTCTGAAAATCTATGAAAGCAACTCGATCGACGTTCAATAAACCACAATCACTCGTATGTGAACAAGCAAATACGATTTATGCATAGATATTTATCATTGAATTTTATGAATAAATTCTATTCTTTTTTTATTTTTAACTTTTACCGATATAAAAAAGTGACCGTCCCATTTTCAAAAACTTTGATTCACTGCTAGATTGATCCTTCTTCTATCTCGTAAGATGTAATTAAATGCCAAGGGCTTCATCACTATATATAAGACCGAAACACATAATTCAAAAAGATGAACAAATTTTGACAATCAAATTGAAAAACAAATAATATACTGCCAATTTTGTTACAAACATGTTCCACTAAAAGAAAACCTCACCATACTGCCTTAGTTTTGTATGATTGATTGTTGTATACTTAACGTCCAACCTAAATTCGAAAAAAGCTACTCAAGTTCAATTAATCGTGTGTACATAGATCGACTTAGAACAACTGGGCTAAGTAATAGAATTGATCATATAATATATGTAGCTAGTTACAAATGTAGATCACGCAAATGTTTGATAATGACGAACATTTATAATACATAAAATTGAGAAAGGAAACTTGGAATGTGTCAATGAGACAACAACCCAACCAAAGAGCAGAAAACAGCCCAAGGCCACCAATGGGTCTTCAACACAGCGACAAAATCCCGCACCCAGAGGCGGGCTTCAGCTGGCCCCTAAACAAAAATGTGTACTAGTTCAGTGAAAATGGACGTCACACTAAACTCCGAAACATATAAATGAACCAAAATAAAAAAAAACATACAAGACTAACAAAGGCCAGAGGCTCCGTACTTGGGACAGGCGCAAAAAATGTTCACTTAACTGAATATCCACGTGCAATGCGATAACGGAAGACATTGTTTGAGCAATAATTCTCTGGTGTATTGTTTTTGAAGAACAAAAAAAAACATCGATATAAAAATATATATATTAATTAAATGTGCAATGCTACAAATGTTTCTGTACACAACAGTGTAAAACTATCATTTGCAATAGAATAAAATGAAGAAAAAAAACATTCAAAGTCAGCCAAAAATTTAAAACTGTGAGCATACAAAAGCACTGACAAAATGTCCCTTTAAAAAACAGTGAATTCATAAAGGTTTGAAAATATATATTCAATGTGACAACAATCCAATGACACCAAGAAAACCAAAAAGAATCATCAAAAGTCTGGATTCTAAGGGGTTAAAATATTTCCATGTTCTAATTATTTTATTTCGACATGGATTTAAAGGGTTTTTATTTTTTTTGGTTCCAATTACCATTAAACTTTTCAAACGCACCTACTGTTAATGTTCTAAACATTTTTAATTTATTTTAAGTTAAACTAATACTATGTAAAAGATATGTTTGTCACATAAATTTGAGGGTTTTATGTTCACCCTTGTGCTACAGAAAATGACCATACAAAACAAAGTATGGAGTCGGACAGCTAATACAAAAATAAAGATGTGGTATGATTGATAACGAGACTACTATCCACCGGGGACTATACTACAGGTCACCATACGGCCTTTAATATGATAAAAACCCATACTGTATAGTGAGTTATGATAATAGGCCACAGAAAGACAAAATGTGAGAAGTCTAATCGGATGCAAAATATAAAATATTCCTACCTTGTTTTTGTTTCTTTTCGGTATCTTCAGAAATTACACAGCTAACAAAAAGTCCACAAATTAACGCAAGCCTAAAGATGCTATTCATTCTGGATGACCACAAAACCAATCCTGTTTTCCCAGAAATGACCGTATTCCTTACTTCTCCGTCAACGTTCAACGTGAAGAAAATGTCTACCGGACTAAATTATAAAAAATCCGAGAATCTTTGTTGGAAGATAGGTTATTTTACACCTTTCAACCTTTCATCGCGTGGATGCCGGCAGAATTCCTTTGATCGATCTAGATTCACATGCCCGTATCATTACAATATTGGTAAAAATTATTGAAGAAGTGATGCAGACATTTTATTGATCCAAACTTAGTCATTGGCATTAATAATATAAGTCATCAAGTTGAAGCATGCAATGACAAACAGCAGTATTCGTAACGTTCTTGATTTTGATGTTTTTAATTAAGATTTTTTAACCATTGAAATGTGGGGCTAATAACGTTAGTTTCATATGTGGTATGCAATCTTAATTTCAAGAAGTAGGAAAGAATGAGGAGACGTATTATTTTTGCCAATAAGGCAACTATCCACTAGAGTTAAAATGAAGTGGTAGTAAGCATTTATAGGCCACTGTACGGCCTTCAACAATGAGAAAAATACATACTGTATAGTCGGCTATAAAAGTTTGTTTCAATTATTCATTTAGTACTTCAATTTTATGGTTGATTCTTCCAAGACCACAGTTTGTACTGATTTTTATCGTTTTTTAAACTGTCATGAATGCTACCTTGCGATGACAGACGAAGACGACCAGCCCCGTATATAACAGGTGTATTGTTATGACCATCGGTTTTATGGAAAGTAGCAACAAATGTAAGTTTGAGATAAAACGAGTATACACAGTCTATATCATAGGCCTTATCTTTCTCATTTAGAATTTTGTCACTAGAGTAATATAAAATAACAAGATAATTAAGCTAAGTTGACGCTTCATTAGCAAATTTCGAATAAAATTCTAACCTCATTGGTTGATATCTTTGACGGAAGTACATGGGATACATCCTCATTCTTTCAATATCCAAGCTGTGGGATGGTCGTGCTCCACGTGTTGTCGGCAAAGTAATTATATTCTTTAACTTTTACTTACATTTGCCTTGGTGGCAATATAGCCTTAATTGGTGGCTTTAAGACCTTGGTGGTCATTTATATATGCCTTGGTGGCAATAGACCTAGGTGGTCATTTATATTTGCCTTGGTGGCAATAGACCTAGGTGGTCATTTTTATAATTGTTTACATTTGCCTTGGTGGCAACATTAAAAAGAAAATACTAGCCTTGGTGGCTTTAAGACCTTGATGGTCATATATATTCGCCTTGGTGGCTTCTTAATAGACCTAGGTGGTCATTTTTGACCTTGGTGGTGAAATGTTTTGGGATTTAGACCTTGTCATGGGTAGATATTATTAACCCAGGTGATCAGATATTTGTTATGCCGTTTGTCGGTTAAACGCCGGGCAAAGTGCTATAGCGTTAAAATATTTTATGTATAATTGGAGTTTGTTAAAATATTTTATGTATAATAAGATTTTGTTAGAAAAGAATAGTAAGATTGAGAAAGGGAAACCATAAAGTGTGAAATTACATGTCATTTGGTATTAGTTTGTTGGCTGGAGTGATGTGTATTGAATTAAAAGGTGTCTTCGTCTAGGTCCGCGTTCAGCGGTCTGTTTGAATGTACATAGAATATGAATAGAATGTTTTAGTTTTCAGATCATGGGTGTTACTGACAAGCTGATGTCTGAAGGAGAAGCAATATGACATTCTACGATAATTCATGTCAATGAGGATCAACCTTAAAGGACAGGATTTTTCTGATCAGAATCTGGTGAGTACAAATTGCATGTTTACGTAATGATTTGATTTCAGGAAATATAATAATAAAAAAAAAAGAAATGGTGTAAATATAAATATAACACTAAATTATGTTTGTCTGTATTGAAGAGAAAGGCAGAAGATGCCAGTAAGGCGCGATACTTGAATTTAAAAAAAAAAACATGTGATGGAACAGCTTTATGTTAAATGAACCTATTTGAAAGTAATTCTAAAAATTTGCCCCTAATTTTGAGATGTTTACTAGTGGATTTGTATATAATTTCATTGATGTGTTTAAAGATGTCACAAAAATCTGTTTGACTTGGAAGATTAATTGTTGCAATATTTTTGTTTTGTTTTATCTACTAAATATAATGTTGAATGCTTTTGTATACCAATGTATACTAAAATTTTATGTATAGTGAAATTTTTAAATTCAAATTTCTTTGTCTACATTTCGAGGGGCACTGATTCCCTAGTGGTTTTCCACGTGGATTGTAGGCGAAGGGATTTTTCCTTTTCGAAGTGTGACTAATGCTGTACAAGTACAAATAAAAAAATTGTTATTGGTTAATATAGTTTTAGCAGAGTTGAGAAGAATCCAGTGGAAATACAATTGTCAATGTTCCTGATTGGGAAGTAAAGAGGAGTTTGATCCAACAACAGTAAAGTAAGCGACAAGCCAGCATAGTTGACACTTGGAGGTGAAGTCCCTTTGCTTACAACAAGCTTTCATCATGCTGAAGATGTGATACAAATAATGTTCATTTTGATATGAGTGCATTGCCTTAATGAGACTTTATAAATTTGTATGTGGTCGAATTCATGAGAACTTTTTGAATTGTGAAACTATTTATAAAGAACTGTGTACACATATCTAGAAATGGTGAGTTGCATTGTAAAGAAATAAAAGAATAATATTTAATAAAAGTGTGAAGACATTTTTGTTTTGAGTTTTGGGAATACTATTCCTTAAGGGAAAGCCTTGCTAGTGGTGTTATTTGAGATTGGCATGCAAATATGCTGTATGGACAACAGAGTTTTCTATGCCCATAACTAAACATGAACTGGATGCAAGATTATATCAATCACTGAGGATATGGGTATAACCTCATTGGTTGATATCTTTGGCGGAAGTACATGGGATACATCATCATTCTTTCAATATCCAAGTGGTTGGTTTAAGGGCTATATTTAGTCAGGCAATACATATTGACTGTTTGGGTTGATGAGATCCTTGATATGTTCCCCCCTCTCCCACCCATTAGTACCAAAATGTGGATAGGTTTTTCATATTTAGATTTTGATATTGGTATTACATGTATGCATTTTGGGTTGATGAGCAAGAGACAACATTAGAAAAAACACAAGAATTACTATGTGATCAAATGTTGACGGAACACACCTTCACTTTAGCGTCTGATGAGGCGATGTTCACAGGAAAGGTCAATGAGGGCAAGTGGATTTGTATATTTGTGCTCGCTATTTCATTACAATGGTAAAAATAAAATTATAGATCTCAGATGACAGTATTGTTGATTACCATGCGTCATTTTTTTATCTCCAGACTAGTTATGTTGTGAACAACTCGGAGCTAGATTACATTCACATTTCTGTACACATGTATCGGAAAGTTAAAACTAGAATTAACAAAGTCAATCTTTTCGTCCACCGTAAATATCAATATTCGAGTATAATCATGACATAATAAAAGTAACATAACTGCAGTCTTAGAGTTCATCTGTTGTTCATGTAATAATAAGAACTCAATAATAAATGTCTCCCCATCGTCTTCATCCCAAGTAATTTTTACAATGTTCAAACCCATGTTATACAACCTCTTAATAACATTCTTTGTCACCAAAGCATTTGTCGTTGTGACCGTTTGTTTTGCAAAACAAACTGTTTTAATGTTAAAGATGTTATAATAGAAGGAGGACTGATAGACATTTATATGCACTATTTTACTTTTCTTAAAGTTATTATGAAATTTTGTCACTATTTTATATTTTTACACACCTCCTCTGTGATCTCGTGGTAGCGTATTTGCTTCGAGTGCGGAAGGTCGTGGGTTCGAACCCCGGTCAGGTCAAACCAAAGACTTTAAAAATGGCATTTGCTGTTTCTCCGCTAAACACGCGGCATTAATAAGAAAGAGCAAAGGCTAGTTGGCTCTGAGTCAGAATAATGTGTTCGGGTAGAGTGTCATGTCTTCTTGTGAACTGCTACCTTGTGAACTAGCAGTTTAAAAATCCGGCTCATCGTGTAATGAAAATAAGGAGATGAGGTTTGATTGCCAATGATACAACTATCAACCAAAGTTCAAATAAAGTGGATGTAAGCAATTATAGTCAACCGTAGGGCCTTCAACAAGGAAAAAAAACCATACCATATAGTCGGCTATAAAAGGCCCCGACATGAAAAATATGAAACAATTCAATTGAGAAAACTAACAGCCTAATTTATAACAAAACAATCAGTAACGAAAAACAAATATGACAGACATGAACCAACGAAACAACTGAACTACAGGCTCCTGACTTGGGACAGGCACATGAAAAATGTGGCGGAGTTAAACATGTTTGTGTTCGCTCAACCCTCCCCCAAGTTAGTCTAGTACAAAGCAGACTTCATATTCATTACCATATTCTCGTCCTGAATATGCTTTTATTTAAATTTGCCGCTGGACGTTAAACAGTCATCCATCATCATCATTATATTACTTACATGGCGTTAGATATGTTATTTACTTCAATGATCATAACTGAACCAACTCTTAACTGTTATGTTTTTGTTATTTTATTGCTGTCATTGTGAAAAATTAAATATCATTTGGGACATTTTGAAATGGGCAATTGGTTGTCTGTTGTTTGATGTCTTACATTTCGATTTCCCATTGCATGATGTCTACCAAATATTCTAATCTTTATCGGTTTTTTTTTATTTTACATCTGACTGCAAGATTTATAGCATAAATCTATAGTAATGTCGATGCATGCAACATCTTTATACCTAGAAAGTTTTACTAACGCTTTGAAATCATGATTTGGTTGAAGTTTATGAAACCTCTATGGCACATACAAATGTATGATTATGGATATGTTCCACATGTTGTAGACAAAAAAATGCCCTCTTTTCTTCGATTGTGACATCACCAAATGAATTTTTCTTGCCACGAGCAACAAAGTGGGCACCACTAATGAACAGGTACATGGGTTCATGTTACCCAATCTTTTATATGCAAAAATTCAAATTAATCACTGTACTGGAGCCCTTGGGGACTTCAGCGGCATCAAACTCCTCGCCAATTGCTGATTAGCACCTGTCACTTGTTATTTCAGAAAACAAAGCAAACGCACTCTTTTAATCTCCAATATCATTACATGTACATGTCTACACTTTGAAGTTATTATGACTTGTTAAATTATAATTTCTTTTGTTTTAATGCACTTATATATTAAGATACGTTTAGTACATAAA